TAACAATAAGAGAATAAATTCGGCCTTGGATATTCCTGATTATTGCCAGCTGACAAGGGGACTAATTCTCTGGGATTTATCCCAATATTTAACCACCAAGTCACCTGGTTTAACATAGCTCTGCAGCTGATCCTTCAGGTGTCCCTGCAGTTGGAGAGTGCTGTGGGTTGGATGGTGGACCCAAAAAGTTATATCTACCTTCTGATTTCCAGAATCTATGGCTGTGACTTTTGCTTTGAAGAAAAGTCTTTGCAGATGTAATGACATTGAGGATCTTGAGATGGCATCATCCTGGATTATCTAGGTAGGTCCTAGATCCAACGACAAGTTTCCTTATAATGGACAGAAGAAGAAAAGACTCAAAGAAGATGAGACAGGGATCAGGGGTGTGCAGTCACAAGCCATATCTAGAGCTATCCAGAAGCTGCGAGAGGCAAGGAAGGATTCTCCTTTAGAGTCTTTGAAATAGTCCTGCTGAAAGATTGATTTTTGAAATTGCGGCCTCAACAACTGTGACAACATACATTACAGTTGTTATAATTTGCATTTCTTGGAGACTAATATAGATAGCCAATGCCTCCACAATAGGGAATTCGGAAGGTGAATCTTGCCTAGAAATGGAGACATTGAATACCAACAGTTCATTGTAACTTGATACAAAAAGTGTAGTGACAGCATTCTTTGGGATTTGAGGTGTGCAATCAGTGCTGGAATGAAGGTGAGAGAAAAGGACACTCAGAGAGATAAGGTAAAGGAGGCTATTCAAGGAAAGCTTCTGGAAGGAAAGAATGAGAAGTTGTCTGGGAGAGGAAGCTGGAGGAGACATCGGGCACGTGTCACAACCCAACAATTACATGTAAGGTGGATATGCAGAGACCTAGAAGTCTATGTTGGGTGCGGGCAGGTGCTGGAGGACTTTGTAGGCCATAAAAAGGATGGACTTTTCCTTTGTAGGAAATCACGAGCTGGAGTGGTACCAGAACATATTTGGAAATATGAGATAACTTTTTGGCTCTCTGGATGACTAGGTGTTTGTGTTGGCATTTACTAGCCTACATCTAGCCAGGGATGCTTAACATCCTGCAGTTTGAGGGACAGTTCCAGAACAATGAAGAAAGTCTTAATTTCCAAAGAGCTCCATCCCTCGAGAAAAACTGCTGGGTCACAATTACAGAACACTGAAGATATTTTAGTGGGGAAGTGACAAGATAGGAATTGCAAATAGATGACTGCAATGGGACTAGGAGATTCAGAAAGACAAGTATGATGATGGCTTGAGGAGAATGGGGAAGCCACAGTGCAAATACCTTCAAAGTAATGAGTTCTGAAGATCTGAGGCAGGGTTGAGGGCAGGAGAAAGAATGTTGGAGGAAGGGGATTGAGAGGCAAATTCAAGTGACATTTAGGTAAAAACAACAGGATTTTGTATATGATAAGGAGTCAAGGGTACATCTCAGATTTCTAATTTGGAGGTGTCATCAACAGGTATTAAGAATAAAGAGAGGAACTGGGTCCATTTGGAACCTGTTGATACTGAGTTGCCTGTAGAGATAGCTAGGAAGAAATGTCCATTATGTAACTGGGACCTTCTAACGTTCAAAGGATGATGTGAACATTCTGATCTCTAAGGAGAGTGTTTTCAGAGAGACTTTCAGAACATAGAGGTCTCCATAAATGGAGAGATTGGTTGATACCTAGAAAATTACTAGACTCACCCAAAATGGATTGGACGCTTATAATTTAGGGTCACTTCACCAGACTTTGGTTCCTTTAAATAAGGGATAAAAGAAACTCTTGACCTTCCAACGAAGGGCTTTGTTTACATTCAGATTAGTTAACAAAGGAAGATGACTGCTCAGGTGCCCACAGGATCCTGCCACCTTCATGACAGAACCAGGCTGTTCCTTGTGAAAAAAGTAATTGGAAGAAACATAAAGCTTTAGATCACTTCAGACAAGTGAAACTAAAGCAAATGTTGACTCTTGCCTTTGAAAGAGGAGCCGCACCTGAAGAGAGCAGCATTTCATTTTCAAAAACATTTTTCTTTGTTCTTTTCCCTGGAATACTTGAGATATTTTTACCAGTTTATTCTTCCCTGCAGAAATGACATCATTATTTTGCTTCAATTTACTAGGTGAAAATTCCCAGTTTCAACTTATTTTTGTAAAAGCCACTTCTAGTCCACTGAGAGTTCCTGAAGGTTCTGGAAGCTCATTTTTTTTTTTTTTTTTTTTTTTTTG